TCCAGGGAGGTCGGGCAGTGTTATATCTTCAGTTTTCTATTAGGCAAAAATCCCTTGATCTCATGATTTGATCTTTAGGATTTCCAAGCTGAAGCCTCTCTTCATTCTGCTGCCCCATAGAAATTCCACCTGGAAGTTGGTTCAGGATTCCGAGGTGCTTGCTCCTGTTTGTGTCTCGTGCCCGGGCAAAGTTTCAAGAGGGGTGGTTTCCATTTTATGGGGAGCTGAATACAGTAGAACCTCATAGTTAGGAACCCCTCAGGAAGGGAGTTTGTTGGTAACTCTGAAATGTTTGGTTTCAGAGTAGCGGCCGTGTTAGTCTGTATCCATAAAAAGAAAAGGAGTACTTGTGGCACCTTAGAGACTAACCAATTTATTAGAGCATAAGCTTTCGTCAGCTACAGCTCACTTCATCGGATGCATCGGATGAAGTGAGCTGTAGCTCACGGAAGCTTATGCTCTAATAAATTTGTTCGTCTCTAAGGTGCCACAAGTACTCCTTTTCTTCTTTCTGAAATGTTTGTAACTCTGAAGAAAACGTTATGGCTGTTCTTTCCAAAGTTTACAACTGAACATTGGATTAATGCAGCTTTGACACTTTACTATGCAGAAGAAAAATGCTGCTTACCCTTTATTTTTTTTAATAGTTTACATTTAACACAGTACTGTCCTGTATTTAGAATCATAGGCCTGGTTAGGTTACACTACGGTGTTAGGTCGAATTTAGCCATGTTAGGTCAATTTTAAAATGAATGCGTCCACACAACCAACCCCGTTCCATCGACTTAAAGGGCTCTTAAAATCAACTTCTGTACTCCTCCCCGGCAAGGGGAGTAGCACTAAAATCGACCTTGCTGGGTCGAATTTGGGGTAGTGTGGACGCAAATTGATGGTATTGGCCTCCGGGAGCTATCCCAGAGTGCTCCATTGTGACAGCTCTGGACAGCGCTTTGAACTCCGATGCACTAGTCAGGAGAGAGCGAGAGGGGAGGGCCCCTGCCCCATACTAAGAAAGCAGGACAAACAGCAAGTTATCTCAAGTGCCTATACACAAATGCAAGAAGCCTGGGAAACAAGCAGGGAGAACTGGAAGTCCTGGCACAGTCAAGGAATTATGATGTGATTGGAATAACAGAGACTTGGTGGGATAACTCACATGACTGGAGTACTGTCATGGATGGATATAAACTGTTCAGGAAGGACAGGCAGGGCAGAAAAGGTGGGGGAGTTGCATTGTATGTAAGAGAGCAGGATGACTGCTCAGAGCTCCGGTATGAAACTGCAGAAAAACCTGAGTGTCTCTGGATTAAGTTTAGAAGTGTGAGCACCAAGGGTGATGTCGTGGTGGGAGTCTGCTATAGACCACTGGACCAGGGGGATGAGGTGGACGAAGCTTTCTTCTGGCAACTAACAGAAGTTACTAGATCGCAGGCCCTGGTTCTCATGGGAGACTTCAATCACCCTGATATCTGCTGGGAGAGCAGTACAGCGGTGCACAGACAATACAGGAAGTTTTTGGAAAATGTAGGGGATAATTTCCTGGTGCAAGTGCTGGAGGAACCAACTAGGGGCAGAGCTCTTCTTGACCTGCTGCTCACAAACAGGGAAGAATTAGTAGGGGAAGCAAGAGTGATGGGAACCTGGGAGGCAGTGACCATGAGATGGTCGAGTTCAGGATCCTGACACAAGGAAGAAAGCAAAGCAGCAGAATACAGACCCTGGACTTCAGAAAAGCAGACTTTGACAACCTCAGGGAACTGATGGGAAGGATCCCCTGGGAGAATAACATGACGGGGAAAGGAGTCCAGGAGAGCTGGCTGTATTTTAAAGAATCCTTATTGAGGTTGCAGGGACAAACCATCCCGATGTGTAGAAAGAATAGTAAATATGGCAGGCGACCAGCTTGGCTTAACAGTGAAATCCTTGCTGATCTTAAACACAAAAAAGAAGCTTACAAGAAGTGGAAGATTGGACAAATGACCAGGGAAGAGTATAAAAATATTGCTCGGGCATGCAGGAGTGAAATCATGAAGGCAAAATCACACCTGGAGTTGCAGCTAGCAAGAGATGTTCAGAGTAACAAGAAGGGTTTCTTCAGGTATGTTGGCAACAAGAAGAAAGTCAAGGAAAGTGTGGGCCCCTTAATGAATGAGGGAGGCAACCTAGTGATAGAGGATATGGAAAAAGCTAATATACTCAATGCTTTTTTTGCCTCTGTTTTCACGAACAAGGTCAGTTCCCAGACTACTGCACTGGGCAGCACAGCATGGGGAGGAGGTGACCAGCTCTCTGTGGAGAAAGAAGTGATTCAGGATTATTTAGAAAAACTGGACGAGCACAAGTCCATGGGGCCGGATGCGCTGCATCTGAGAGTGCTAAAGGAGTTGGCGGATGTGATTGCAGAGCCATTGGCCATTATCTTTGAAAACTCATGGCGATCGGGGGAGGTCCCGGATGACTGGAAAAAGGCTAATGGAGTGCCCATCTTTAAAAAAGGGAAGAAGGAGGATCTGGGTAGCTACAGGCCAGTCAGCCTCACCTCAGTCCCCGGAAAAATCATGGAGCAGGTCCTCAAGAAATCAATTCTGAAGCACTTCGAGGAGAGGAAAGTGATCAGGAACAGTCAGCATGGATTCACCAAGGGAAAGTCATGCCTGAGTAATCTAATTGCCTTCTATGATGAGATAACTGTCTCTGTGGATGAGGGAAAAGCAGTGGACGTGTTGATCCTTGACTTTAGCAAAGCTTTTCACACGGTCTTCCACAGTGTTCTTGCCAGCAAGTTAAAGAAGTATGGGCTGGATGAATGGACTATAAGGTGGATAGAAAGCTGGCTAGATTGTCAGGCTCAACGGGTGGCAATCAATGGCTCCATGTCTAGTTGGCAGCCGGTATCAAGTGGAGTGCCCCAAGGGTCGGTCCTCGGGCCAGTTTTGTTCAATATCTTCATTAATGATCTGGAGGATGGTGTGGATTGCACCCTCAGCAAGTTTGCAGATGACACTAAACTGGGAGGAGAGGTAGATACGCTGGAGGGTAGGGATAGGATACAGAGGGACCTAGACAAATTAGAGGATTGGGCCAAAAGAAATCTGATGAGGTTCAACAAGGACAAGTGCAGAGTCCTGCACTTAGGACAGAAGAATCCCATTCACCACTACAGACTAGGAACCGAATGGCTAGGTAGCACTTCTGCAGAAAAGGACCTAGGGGTTACCGTGGACGAGAAGCTGGAAATGAGTCAACAGTGTGCTGTTGTTGCCAAGAAGGCCAATGGCATTTTGGGATGTATAAGTAGGGGCATAGCGAGCAGATCAAGGGACGTGATCGTTCCCCTCTATTTGACATTGGTGAGGCCTCATCTGGAGCACTGTGTCCAGTTTTGGGCACCACACTGCAAGAAGGATGAGGAAAAACTGGAAAGAGTCCAGCAGAGGGCAACAAAAATGATTAGGGGACTGGAACACATGACTTATGAGGAGAGGCTGAGGGAACTGAGATTGTTTAGTCTGCAGAAGAGAAGAATGAGGGGGGATTTGATAGCTGCTTTCAACTCCCTGAAAGGGGGTTCCAAAGAGGATGGATCTAGACTGTTCTCAGTGGTAGCAGATGACAGAACAAGGAGTAATGGTCTCAAGTTGCAGTGGGGGAGGTTTAGGTTGGATATTAGGAAAAACTTTTTCACTAGGAGGGTGGTAAAACACTGGAATGCGTTACCTCGGGAGGTGGTGGAATCTCCTTCCTTAGAAGTTTTTAAGGTCAGGCTTGACAAAGCCCGGGCTGGGATGATTTAGTTGGGGATTGGTCCTGCTTTGAGCAGGAGGTTGGACTAGATGACCTCCTGAGGTCCCTTCCAATCCTGATATTCTATGATTCTATGATGTCCCAATTGCCACAGCCCATGCTTTCAGGAACGTCTGTGTCCATGTCCTCATTAAAATTGTCCTCGTGCTGGCGTCTCTTAGCCCAGTTTTGCATATACTGCAGGATAATGCACGAGGTGTTTACAATGCTCACAACAGCAGTGGTGAGCTGAGCGGGCTCCATGCTTGCCGTGGTATGGCGTCTGCAGGAGAGCAGAAGAGCAGAGTTGCAGCGGAAGCGGTGGATGACAACGGATACCACGAGAATAGATATTTATAAAGAATGACGAGAGGACCTGCGAGGTGGATTCATGGCACCAGGAGAGCAGGAGAGCAGAGTTGCAGCAGAAGCGGTGGATGATGACGGATGCCACGAGAATAGATATTTATAAAGAACGACGAGAGGACCTGCGAGGTGGATTCATGGCACCAGGAGAGCAGGAGAGCAGAGTTGCAGCAGAAGCGGTGGATGATGAGGGTTAGTAGTCGTACTGCACTGTCTGCTGACAGCAGCACCCAGGACACAACAGCAGCGGTCACAGTGAGCTGAGCTGAGCGGGCTCCATGCTTGCCATGGTATGGCGTCTGCATGGAAAAAAGGCGCAAAACAATTGTCTGCCATTGCTTTCACGGAGGGAGGGGCGACTGATGACATGTACCCAAAACCACCAGTGACAATGTTTTTGCCCCATCAGGCATTGGGAGCTTAACCCAGAATTCCAATGGGTGGCGGAGACTGCGGGAACTGTGAGATAGCTACCCACAGTGCACTGCTCCGTAAGTTGATGCTAGCCATGGTAGTGAGGACGCACTCCGCCGACTTAATGCGCTTAGTGTGGACATATGCAATTGACTGTATAAATCGATTTTCTAAAAATCAACTTCTATAAAATCGACTTAATTTCGTAGTGTAGACATACCCATAATAGAATCATAGAATATCAGGGTTGGAAGGGACCTCAGAAGGTCATCTAGTCCAACCCCTTGCTCAAAGCAGGACCAATCCCAACTGAATCATCCCAGCCAGGGCTTTGTCAAGCCTGACCTTAAAAACCTAAGGAAGAAGATTCCATCTCCTCTCTAAGTAACCCATTCCAGTGCTTCACCACCCTCCTGTGAAAAAGTTTTTCCTAATATCCAACCTAAACCTCCTCCACTGCCATTTGAGACCATTACTTCTTGTTCTGTCATCTGCTACCACTGAGAACAGTCTAGATCCATCCTCTTTGGAACCCCCTTTCAGGTAGTTGAAAGCAGCTTTCAAATCACCCCTTATTCTTCTCTTCTGCATACTAAATAATCCCAGTTCCCTCAGCCTCTTCTCATAAGTCATGTGCTTCAGCCCCCTAATCATTTTTGTTGCCCTCCCCTGGACTCTTTCCAATTTTTCCACATCCAAAACTGGACGCAGTACTCCAGATGAGGCCTCACCAATGCTGAATAGAGGGGAATGATCACGTCCCTCGATCTGCTGGCAATGCTCCTACTTATACAGCCCAAAACGCCGTTCTTTGCAACAAGCAGTACCGGATTTACCATGGCGCCGGGCCCACGGTCCAAAGGGGCCCTGGTCTGCTCTTCGCCCCCACTGCTCTCTCTTGCGGAGGCAGAAGCTTGGTGCTGCCGGCTCCTGGAGCTCCTGCTCCAGCAGGACAGGCTCTACTGGCAGCCAAGTTTCTCCCCCACCTCTTCCCCGGAGGGTGCTACGTTCCCTCCCCTCCCCCCTCCCTGCTGCCGATCAGCTGTTTGCCGGCAGGAGGGAGGGGGAAGAGCGGAGCTCCGGGGGCGGGGGAGGAGGAGAAGAGGCAGGGGTGGGGCCCTGGGGAAAGGGCTGGAATCGGGGCATACTCCCTCCAGCTCCCTGCCGTGAGCACCCCCACAACCCTAGCCCTCTGCCCACCCTGAACCCTGCATCGCCCTCTCAACTCCCCAGCCCTGACTCCTGCACCCCCCTCACACACCACCAGCCCCCTGTCCTGCCCCTGCACCCCCTCATACGTCCCCAGCCCCCTGCCCTGACTCTTTCACCCCACACACATACCCAGCCCCCCCACACTCCATGCTCTGACTCCTGCACCCCCCCCCACATCCTCACCCCCACCCTGAGCACCTGCTTTGAGCAGGGGGTTGGACTAGATGACCTCCTGAGGTCCCTTCCAACTTTGATATTCTATGATTCTATGATTCTAAATGGGAACTCCTGCACCCCCCGCCCACCATTCCCACCTGCACCCCTCACACCAAACAGGAGCTGCCCCAGGTAAGCGCTCCACACCCCAACCTCCTGCCCCAACCCTGAGCCCCCTCCCTCAGCCTAGCTCCTGGCCAGCCCCCGCACTCCAACTTTTTTTACAATATTTGGAAAGATCATTAAGTGTCCATTGAGATCCTCCGTGATTTTCAAGTGGTCTGTGGAAAAATAAGTTAGACTACAAGAACAATCAAGAACAATCAAGGTACGTCACTTTATTGTCATTTACTTGCTATTACTTATAGGAGGAGGATGAAGAAAAAAAGAATGAAAAACTGGGGCGGGGGGAGATCAGAGAGAATGTTCTTTTTCTTGGTTGGGTCCCAAGGAGGGGCCCCAAAAATGAAGCTGAGCACAGGGCCGCACTGACTCTAAATCCACCACTGGCTGTCATGTTACCTGTGCTGGGGATACTGTGTCAGCTGATCCCCACAGTCTCCAACCTACCTGGGCAGTACAGCAGACATGGCCCTGCCCACTAGCTCCTCTCCACTCCCTAGCCCACCCACCGCTTGCTTCCCCCACCCCCCATTAAGGCTTAGCCCTCCCACTTTTAGCCCTGGTCTACACTAGGACTTTAGGTCAAATTTAGCAGCGTTAAATCGATGTAAAGCTGCACCCGTCCACATGATGAAGCCCTTTTTTTCGCCTTAAAGGGCTCTTAAAATCGATTTCCTTACTCCACCCCTGACAAGTGGATTAGCGCTTAAATCAGCCTTGCCGGCTTGAATTTGGGGTACTGTGGACACAATTCGACGGTATTGGCCTCCGGGAGCTATCCCAGAGTGCTCCATTGTGACCGCTCTGGACAGCACTCTCAACTCAGATGTTCTGGCCAGGTAGACAGGAAAAGAACTGCGAACTTTTGAATCTCATTTCCTGTTTGCCCAGCGTGGCAAGCTGTAGGTGACCATGCAGAGCTCATCAGCACAGGTGACCATGATGGAGTCCCAGAATCGCAAAAGAGCTCCAGCATGGACTGAACAGGAGGTACGGGATCTGATCGCTGTTGGGGAGAGGAATCCGTGCTATCAGAACTCCGTTCCAGTTTTCGAAATGCCAAAACCTTTGTCAAAATCTCCCAGGGCATGAAGGACAGAGGCCATAACAGAGACCAGAAGCAGTGCCGTGTGAAACTTAAGGAGCTGAGGCAAGCCTACCAGAAAACCAGAGAGGCGAATGGCCGCTCCGGGTCAGAGCCCCAAACATGCCGCTTCTGTGATGAGCTGCATGCCATTTTAGGGGGTTCAGCCACCATTACCCCAGCCATGTTGTTTGACTCCTTCAATGGAGATGGAGGCAACACGGAAGCAGGTTTTGGGGACGAAGAAGATGATGATGATGATGAGGTTGTAGACAGCTCACAGCAAGCAAGCGGAGAAACTGGTTTTCCCAACAGCCAGGAACTGTTTCTCACCCTGGACCTGGAGCCAGTACCCCCTGAACCCACCCAAGGCTGCCTCCTGGACCCGGCAGGCGGAGAAGGGACCTCCGGTGAGTGTACCTTTTAAAATACTATACATGTGAAAGGATTACTTTGCCCTGGCATTCGCGGCTCTCCTGGATGTACTCCCAAAGCCTTTGCAAAAGGTTTCTGGGGAGGGCAGCCTTATTGCGTCCTTCATGGTAGGACACTTTACCACTCCAGGCCAGTAACACGTACTCGGGAATCATTGTACAACAAAGCGTTGCAGTGTATGTTTGCTGGCGTTCAAACAACATCCGTTCTTTATCTCTCTGTGTTATCCTCAGGAGAGTGAGATATCATTCATGGTCAACTGGTTGAAATAGGATGCTTTTCTTCAGGGGACACTCACAGGAGCCCGTTCCTGCTGGGCTGTTTGCCTGTGGCTGAACAGAAATGTTCCCCGCTGTTAGCCACGGGGAGGGGGGAGGGTTGAGGGGGTAGCCACGTGGTGGGGGGATGCAAAATGCGACCTTGTAACGAAAGCACATGTGCTATGTATGTAATGTTAACAGCAAGGTTTACCCTGAAAGAGTGTAGCCACTGTTTTATAAAATTTGTCTTTTTAAATACTGCTGTCCTTTTTTTTTCTCCACCAGCTGCATGTGTTTCAATGATCACAGGATCTTCTCCTTCCCAGAGGCTAGTGAAGATTAGAAAGAAAAAAAACCAAACTCGTGATGAAATGTTCTCTGAGCTCATGCTGTCCTCCCACACTGACAGAGCACAGACGAATGCATGGAGGCAAATAATGTCAGAGTGCAGGAAAGCACAAAATGACCGGGAGGAGAGGTGGCGAGCCGAAGACAGTAAGTGGTGGGCTGAAGACAGGGCTGAAGCTCAAATGTGGCGGCAGCGTGATGAGAGGAGGCAGGATTCAATGCTGAGGCTGCTGGAGGACCAAACCAGTATGCTCCAGTGTATGGTTGAGCTGCAGCAAAGGCAGCTGGAGCCTACAGACTGCCACTACAGCCCCTGTGTAACCAACCGCCCTCCTCCCCAAGTTCCATAGCCTCCACACCCAGACGCCCAAGAACGCGGTGGGGGGGCCACCGGCCAACCAGCCACTCCGCCACAGAGGATTGCCCAAAAATCAGAAGGCTGGCATTCAATAAATTTTAAAGTTGTAAACGTTTAAAGTGCTGTGTGGCATTTTCCTTCCCTCCTTCACCACCCCTCCTGGGCTACCTTGGTAGTCATCCCCCTATTTGTGTGATGAATGAATAAAGAATGCATGAATGTGAAGCAACAATGACTTTATTGCCTCTGCAAGCAATGATCGAAGGGAGGAGGGGAGGGTGGTTAGCTTACAGGGAAGTAGAGTGAACCAAGGGGCGGGGGGTTTCATCAAGGAGAAACAAAGAGAACTTTCACACCGTAGCCTGGCCAGTCATGAAACTGGTTTTCAAAGCTTCTCTGATGCGTACCGCGCCCTCCTGTGCTTTTCTAACCGCCCTGGTGTCTGGCTGCGCGTAACCAGCAGCCAGGCGATTTGCCTCAACCTCCCACCCCGCCATAAACGTCTCCCCCTTACTCTCACAGATATTGTGGAGCACACAGCAAGCAGTAATAACAGTGGGAATATTGGTTTCGCTGAGGTCTAAGCGAGTCAGTAAACTGCGCCAGCGTGCCTTTAAACATCCAAATGCACATTCTACCACCATTCTGCACTTGCTCAGCCTGTAGTTGAACAGCTCCTGACTACTGTCCAGGCTGCCTGTGTACGGCTTCATGAGCCATGGCATTAAGGGGTAGGCTGGGTCCCCAAGGATACATATAGGCATTTCAACATCCCCAACAGTTATTTTCTGGTCTGGGAATAAAGTCCCTTCCTGCAGCTTTTGAAACAGACCAGAGTTCCTGAAGATGCGAGCGTCATGCACCTTTCCCGGCCATCCCACGTTGATGTTGGTGAAACGTCCCTTGTGATCCACCAGAGCTTGCAGCACTATTGAAAAGTACCCCTTGCGGTTTATGTACTCGCCAGCTTGGTGCTCCGGTGCCAAGATAGGGATATGGGTTCCGTCTATGGCCCCACCACAGTTAGGGAATCCCATTGCAGCAAAGCCATCCACTATGACCTGCACATTTCTTAGGGTCACTACCCTTGATATCAGCAGATCTTTGATTGCGTGGGCTACTTGCATCACAGCAGCCCCCACAGTAGATTTGCCCACTCCAAATTGATTCCCAACTGACCGATAGCTGTCTGGCGTTGCAAGCTTCCACAGGGCTATCGCCACTCGCTTCTCAACTGTGAGGGCTGCTCTCATTTTGGTATTCATGCGCTTCAGGGCAGGGGAAAGCAAGTCACAAAGTTCCATGAAAGTGCCCTTATGCATGCGAAAGTTTTCGCAGCCACTGGGAATCGTCCCAGACATGCAACACTATGCGGTCCCACCATCTTTGGCTGGCAGCAGACGGTGCAGAAGGACTGCATGCCATCCACATCTCATGGCTGCTCGGCAGAAGATGGTACAATATGACTGCTAGCCATCCTCATCTCTTGCCTGCCCGGCAGAAGATGGTACAATACAACTGCTAGCAATCCGTATCGCCTGCCTGCTCACCATAAGAGGGTTCAGTAGGACTGACTGCAGGACTAAAGAGAATGACCTGGTCATGACCTGCGTGTCCTGTTACCAGTGCTGACTGGAAACTAAAAGTCTGGTTATAGGAGTAACCACATTAGCCTCTGCTCCTCCCACTCCCAGCACCCACCCCAGAGGGCTGGAAGAGAACCGGTCCTGATGCTGCGGGAGGAGGGGCAGCTCAGTGCAGAGAGAGACGAAGAGAATGGGCTAGAACCAGGTAAGTACCCGCTCTATGTGGGCAGGAGTGGGGGGCAGGGACCTTGTTTACCCCCACCCCAGCCCTGCTGCGCTTGCAGTTTATCCCTGGCCCCTCCCTTGCTCCAGGGACCAACCCTAGCTTCTGCCCCACTGTGCTTTTACCCCCAGCCCCTTTTACAATCATTCCCCGGGGGACCCACAAATATGTTTGGCCCACAAAAAGTTCATCCGGCCCTGGCAACAAGGGCACACTATTGACTCATATCCAGCTTCTCGTCCACTGTAACCCCTAGGTCTTTTTCCGCAGAACTGCTGCCTCACCACTCGGTCCCTAGTCTGTAGTGGTGCATGGGATTCTTCCGTCCTAAGTGCAGGACTCTACACTTGTCCTTGTTGAACCTCATCAGATTTCTTTTGGCCCAATCCACTAATTTGTCTAGGTCCCTCTGTATCCTATCCCTGCCTTCCAGCGTATCTACCACTCCTCCCGGTTTAGTGTCATCTGCAAACTTGCAGAGGGTGCAATGTTTGTTTGTTGCTGTTTGATTGCCTACTTCCAGTTCCAAATGAGGTGTGTGGTTACCAGTCAGTTCCTAGCTCTGGTGTTGGTAACTGTGAGGTTCTACTGTACAGTGGGGGAAACGAGGGGCTATCTCCTGCCACCAGAGGGCTCTGATTATTGCTAACAGAGGACGGGATGGTGCTCGCTTGCTCTCTCTCTCTCTGCTCAGCATGTAAATGGCTGAGCTTCCTGGGTCATTCGCTGTGCACCGGCAGTACTGCTGCTCCCTATCCGGGTCTGTGTAGAGGAGAGACCTGCATTAACACCGCTCTGCGCCCAGCGGGGTGGGGCGGAGGGGACTTTCTGCGGTGGCTGGACCCAGCCCCGGGCTCTGCCGACACCAGCTCCTGAGCTGGAGCCTGCAGGTGACGGGGGAGACCCGGGCGAAAGGGCTGGGGCCAGGTAGGGAAGTGACTCTGCAGTAAAGGGAGGCTCAGATCTCTTGTGGCTGAATCTGCAGTGCAGATCTGAGCGAACGGTAATGAAGCCCCTGCCTTTGCTTGGCCATCAGCTGCTGCCAGAGCTTTGCTCCAAGAGCTAAACGCAGAGAATTCGGGGGAGGAGGAGGAAGTTTCAGGGTGGCAGTGGGAGGGTCCCCCCTTTTGTCTCTTTGGGGCAGGGCATGTGTAGTGTGAAAAACTGCTCTCTGTCTTAATGTGCTACTTAGGGTGCATCTGCCTTCACCCTGTCCTTACTTGGCCTCAGATTCTGCGGACTACTTTTGACAGGGGTTGAAAATGGGCAAATCGGAGGAGGAGGGTGGTCAGGGTCTGAGGAGGGGCCCGAAATTGACTGGTCAGGAGGGTCAAGTTGCTGGAGGCAGGGTTAGGATAGGTGCTGAAGGGCAAAAGCAGAGATGGGGGGGGGGGGGAGAGACAGAGTTATGCCCAGGGGTGAGGCGCTGCCAGAGGGTGACAGCGGATAAAACCCCGGCAGAGGCACAGGGGGTAACAGTTACCCCGGTGGACTGAGACACCAGTGCTCGCAAAAATGGGGGGCGGGGGGAGAGGGACTTTATTTCCCCTCCCACAGGACAGCACCTCTCCACATGGGCTTCCCAGGGCTGGGTTTGTAAAGGCGCAGGCATCCCAAAGCCCAGTCACTGCAGCTCCTGATGTAACCTGCTGAGGTGCTGCAGGAGACTTGAGTCAGTGAAATATTTTACGTACACCCCTTCAGAAACAAAGAATCCCTTATCAGTGTATCTGACTGTATGGAGTCTCATAGCAGTTAACCAGTTTGTCTTATCTGCTGGGAGGCATGTCATTGTGCTATTTGTATTATATTTTAATAACAAATAATGAAAGTATGCATGTTAGTATTTGCTAGTAGTTTTAGCAATGACATCTGGGTTTCTAGTATTGCACTTGCTATGTTTTTTTACTGTGATTTCTAATTTGGAATTTTTAATTCTAACTTTTTCTTCTGTACTAGAAGGGGAAAGGTGAGAGGTAGCAAATTAGGACAAGTTAGCAAATAAGAACAACCTTAAGTATCAGTAACTGCTACTGGTTACAATTCACTACCCATATTCCAGTAGCAGATTAGGGCAGATAGCAGTTTAATATCAGTAACTGCTAGTGATAGCAAATTGCATTAGTTGGCAGTTTTTTTTACAATACCTTATGTATCAGTAACTGCTGCTGGTAGCAAATTAAGACAGATAGCCATTTTTAACACTACAAAGAGAAGTGTGTGTGTGTTATTTCTTCATTTAAAAATCTACCCTCGTTACTGCTCTCCCTTCCCCTGGAGATAATCCACAGAGATGATTTTATGTCCCCAAGGACATGTTGGTTCTATCAGACATGGTGGGTTTAAAAGGATTTAGCACAGGTCTACACTACTGCATAAAGAAAAGAAGTACTTGTGGCACCTTAGAGACTAACCAGTTTATTTGAGCATAAGCTTTCACGAGCTACAGCTCACTTCATCGGATGCATACTGTGGAAAGTGTAGAAGATCTTTTATACACACAAAGCATGAAAAAATACCTCCCCCAACCCCACTCTCCTGCTGGCAATAGCTTATCTAAAGTGATCACTCTCCTTACAATGTATATGATAATCAAGGTGGGCCAGCTCACGAAAGCTTATGCTCAAATAAATTGGTTAGTCTCTAAGGTGCCACAAGTACTCCTTTTCTTTTTGCGAATACAGACTAACACAGCTGTTACTCTGGAACTACTGCATAAGTCAATCTCACTTAACGTCACTCAGCGATGTGAAAAAGACACCCCCTGGCCGATGCAAGTTACAGCAACCTAAGCACTGTCTGAACCAGTGCTACATCCGCAGATTGCTCACGGAGATGGAGTATGGGAGAGACTTTATAAAGCAGGTCAATGTTTTGGCCATTTATATATTGTCTTTTGCTTCTAATTTATTAATTGTCTTCCCTCCAGGACACTCCTTCTCCCCCTCTCCCCCCATGGTAGCTTTGTAAAATCTCTCCCCTTAGCCCCCTTGACTGTGTAGATGGACAAGTCCTTCCTCCTCCTCCTCAACATATCCCACAATGCCTGACTTTGAATTCAAACTCATCCCCCTTCTGGGTGGGCTGGGAAACCATGTTCGTGGTGAATGTGTGGCAGAATTTGTCGCCAGCAGAGATGTGGATAGTTAAATTCTCCCATTAGCAGAGTGGCCTGCAGCTCTGATTCAATGGAGAGCTGGCCCAGAGATTTGCATGTGTTAAAATGGCCTGCGTTAATAATCATGGAACACTTCTCGTAATGAATACTCCACAAATATCGATGTCCCGTTTTCTTTTCTTAGTGTGTCCAATTCCCAAACCTAACGTGATCTCGCAGATGGAACGAAGAGAAGAGTTGGAGGAGCTGGATCTCCGAGGCTCTGAGGAGAGGGAGATCCTGAAACACAGCTGCCCAG